CTTGGTTATGGAAGAATTTTCCTTCGAACTGTTATTTCAATGGTATATTTATATTTGAACGGTATATTTATATTTATCCACCACTCCTCTGTCAGTATGTCATACTATGGAGGCACATGTGCTGCTGTGATGCTGGAAGCTATGCCACTGGTATGTTAAATACCAGCAGGGTCACCCATGATGATCAGGTTTCAGCTGAGCTTCCAGACAAAGACTAGGAAGAAGGAGAGGCAGACCACTTCTTACAGTTTAGCCACTGAAAACATAAACAGCAACAGAACACTGTCAGATGGAGTGCCAGAAGATGAGCCCTACAGGGTAGAAGGGACTCAGAATATGACTGGGAAGAGCTGCCACCTCAAAGTAATGATGACACGAATGGAATAAAGTTTTCAGGACTATAATTTGCTGATGCAGCGCCACTCAAAATGAGGAGAAACAGCTGCAAACATCCATTAATCATCAGAACATGAAATATATGAAATATGAATCTAGGAAAATTGAAATCTGTCAAAAATGAAATGGAACTGTAAAGATCTATATCCTAGGCATTAATGACAGGTAATTGAATCTGATAATCCTATGGTTTACTATGCCGAGAATGTCAAATTCAGGAAGAATGGTGTTGTGTTCATTGAGAAAAAGAACATTTCAAGATCTATCTTGAAGTACTTTGCTGTATGTGATAGGACAATATCCATACACCCCAAAAGGAACACCAGTGGTGAAAAACACCACTGTTATTCACATTTGCGCACCAACCACTAAAGCCAAGAGTTGAGGAATCCTACCAACGTCTTCAGTCTGAAATTGATCAAACATGCATTGATAATTGCTGGTGGTTGGAATGCACAGGTTAGAAAATAAAGAGGAAGGATCTGTAGCTGGAAAATGTGGCATTGGTGGTAGAAATGATGCTGGAGATGACATGATAGAAATTTTCAAGAACAGCAACTTATCCATTGCAAATATCTTTTTTAAACAACATAAAAGTCAACCATGCACATGGTCCTCACCAGATGAAATACACGGGAATCAGACTGACTACATTTGTGGGAAGAGACCTTGGAAGACCTCAATACTATCATCCAAAATATGGCCAGGGACCTACTGTGGAACAGACCAGCAATTGCTCATATGCCAATTCAGGCTGCTGCTGAGGAAAATGAAAACAAGTCCACGAGAGCCAATATATGACCTTGAGTATATCTCACCTGAGTTTAGAGAGCATCTCAAAAACAGATTTGATGCATTAGACACTAATGACCAAAGACCAGAAGAGTTGCGGGATGACATCAAGAACATCATACAGGAAGAAAGCAAAAAGTCATTAAAAAGGCAGGAAAGAAAGAAATGACAAAAATACATGTCAGACGAGACTCTGAAATTTGCTCTTGCGCACAGAAAAGCCAAAGCACATGAAAGAAACAAAGAGGTAAACACACAGAAAGACAATTTTGTTACTTTTCAATACATAAGGTGATATGAACTAATGATACTAATTACAAAGTAAACCTTCTGTCCATCTCTTGCAGTGATCAGATTAGCATTTTGGGGTAGGTAGTACTTTTATTGTCTATATAGATAGATAAAGGGGCTGGTGGCATAGCGGGTTATGCATTGGGCTGCTAACCACAAGGTCAGCAGTTCGAAGACACCACCCACTCTGCTGATCCCTTAAAGATTGACAGCCTCAGAAACCCTATAGAGGGTCGCAATGAGTCAGAACCAACTTTACAGCACAAAACAACAACAACATATATATACATAGATAGTCATGGTAAAGCCAGTTGCCATCTAGGTGACTCCAACCCATGTAGATAGACTCCATGTGTGTCAGAGTAGACCTGTGCTCTCTAGGGTTTTTTCGATGGTTGATTTGTTTTGAGAAGTAGAATGCCAGATCTTTCTTCAGAAGTGCCTCTGGGTAGATTCAAGCCACCAACCTTTGGTTAGTAGTGGGGCACATTAATTATTTGCCACCCCAGGAACTCTAGTAGTTATGGTGTGTATTTGTGTGTGTGTGTTGTGTGTTAGGTGCCATCAAGTTGCTTCCAACTCATAGTTACCCTAGTGTACAACAGAATGTAACACTGTCCAGTCCTGTGCTATCCGCATGATCAGTGCTGTGTTTGAGTCCATTGTTTCAGCCACGTGGTAGGGTCTAATAAATTATTATCTTTAAACATGAAAGATATGAACATATATCACACTAACGAGATCAATTCCTTTTTGCCACATTATATAATTGGTCTCCATTCAAATCGTATGACTTTATGGATGAAAATTCTTAAGAACAGTGTCCACTTCATGGGAAGAGAATCATTTTTGAAGTCTTTGCTTTTTGAAAGGGAAGAGAAATTGAATGTGCCTGTTGATTACATTGTGATGTTCTTTTCCTCCAAAAATTCAGAAAGGAGGATTTGGCCACATGTACAGCCCCGTGAGGATGCCAGGAATGTTCATGTCTATTAAAGAACGCTTACTCCATCTTTTCCTGATATTAGAGCCTGGCGTTTAGATTTTATTAAGCTGAGTTGCTTTCTTTACCACACTTTTCGTGTGTCCTTTAAAAAATCAAGTCATTAGATAAGCAAAAGGTAGTGTATACATACAATGGAAATTAGGTCTTGATACATGCTGCAGTGTGAATGGAGCTGGAAGACATTATGCTGAGCAAATAAGACAAATATTTTATCACCTCATTTGTACAAAATGAAAAGAAAAGGTCAATGTATAGAGACCAAAGTTTATTAATGGTTACTTTATTAAGGGGCAGGAGGAAGGGAAGAAAAGGGGCGTTAACAGCGATGAAAAAAATCACATTGTTTAAGGGGAGGATTGCATACCTAATTATTGTGATTTCTGTCAATAAATTGTACACCTGTAGAAATTTGAATTGACTAACGTTGTGTGATGATTTATTCACAACAACAAAAAGAGCAGCTGTAGAGGCTGTTGATATACAACCAAACACTTCATGGGATTTGACTTCTTGGTTTGGAAGTTTAGGGGCATGGTTTCATGGGACAATCCAGTTAAATGGCTGAAGAACGTTTGAAAACAGTCTTCCAAGGCACATCACTTGGTCTCTATTCACCTGGATCAACAGAGGAAGAAGAGAGTCAGGAATAGGAGGCGACTATGGAATGTGTGACTAATTGGCTCCATGAACAACTGCCTCATTTGCCATGAGACCAGAAGAACTAGATGGTGCCTGGCTACCATTACTAAGCATTTTGATCAAAGATTCCATAGAGGAATCCTGATAAAAAATGCAGAATGCTATGCAGAAACTGTTAAATTGGTGTATGTTTGGCTATGTCCATTGGTAGCAACAAGAGAATGAAATTTTACAGAAAACAAAGCAAAACAAAAGATCTTCAGCTCCCTTTAAACATCAGTGGGTTTGTTTGCACCCTGGAGTGCCATTTTCCTGATTTCATTATGGTGTGGCTTCCGGATTTGCATGTCCCACATCTGAAACTGACAGCTGCATGATCCTGGAATGCACTGCTGCAGTGATCAAGGCCAAGTTTTTCTGATGACATCCCAGGAATGCAATTGCAGCTGCACACTGATATGAGTGGTATCTTTATTATTTGACATGTCAACCAGATGTATTTAGTACATTTATTGGAAGTGTCTTACTTGTTGAAGTGAAAAATTACAAACAATCCAAATGTCCATCTATGAGGGAATGGTTCAAAGAAGTATGATAAAGTCATACTATCCACCCATTTGTCTTACTATGGTGGCTTGCATGTTTCTGTGATGTTGGAAGTGATGCTGCCGGTTATTTCAAATACCAGCAAGGTTACCTATGGTGAACAGATTTCAAGGGAGTTTACAGAGTACGACAGGCTAGGAATAAAGACCTGGAAATCTATTTCTGAAAAACCAGCCAATGAAAACCTTATGGATTATAACAGAATTGCTTCCAGTGTAGTAGTGGAAGATGAGTCCTTTAGGTTGGGAGACACTCAAAATACACAGAGGCCTCAACATGGAATCACTGCCTGATGGGTTTGGACTGGACAGCATTTCTTATGTGTGGTCACTGTGAGTTGGAGCCAAGTTGGTGGCAACTAACTGCAAATACTATAGAGTACTATGTAACCCCCCCAAAAAATACGTAGATTTAAGTCTTCTAGGAGTGGAGTCCTGGTGTGGCGCTGTGGGCTAATGCACCATACTGCAAAGTTGTTTAAACTGCAAGGTCGGTGGTTCAAGCTCACCAGCTGCTCCTTGGAAACCTTGTACAGGGTCGCTATGGGTCGGAACCGACTCGGTGGCACTTAACAACAACAACAATATGTGCTAAGCGCCCCCATTCAACAGCTTGTCAGTTATCACAGCAATGCATGAAGTTAGTCCCATTTTATAGAAGACACTTGTCCAAAGGCAAACTGATTCAGCAACAGTTAGAACTGAGTTCTGTGGATCCCATAGATGCTTCCTTCTCCACCTACACTTGTCTGTCATGTCACAGCTGTGGTGAGATTTGACTCCAAATGGACATTAATTTGCATAGACATGGTGCCTAGGAAGAGCCTAATGTAATCATTGTTGTTGTGGTGGTTGTGAGTGAGTGCTCGTGAATTAGTTCCTACTCATAGCAACCTTGTATAGGGTGTCTGAGCAGCAGCTGGTAGGCTTGAACTACCGACCTGGTGGTTCACAATCCAGTGCTGATCCTAGAGCGCCACCCCAAGAATCCAATGTAATAGTAAAGGTAAACATATCCAAGTGTCCAAACGTAATCATTTCCAAAGAATGTTTCCTGTTCTTTCGGTAGACTGAAACAGAATGTAAGAACATGGTTCAAGACTTAATTATATACACTATCCAATTCCAGAGATTTTCTAGTGTTCTCTGTTAGAAATATCAAGTGATGAGCAAAGTAAGTGAAATCATACTGTTGCTCAAAGGTAGTTAATAATAATGTAAAGTATTTGTACACTTGTCCTTAAAACACCTCATTCTTTTAATATTTACAGATGGCCAAAAGAGAAAGAAGTCTCTGAGAAAGAAACTGGATTCCCTAGGAAAGGAGAAAAACAAAGACAGAGGTAAGTGAACTAAAGTGAATGTGTTTTCCATGGAGCATAATGGTTGAGTTTGGTGGAGTTTTTGAATCGCATTGATTTACACGTTTCAAGTCTATTATGTGAACTGGGTTCCTGTGATGAAATGTCATTAAGGGCTGCTTAGGTCTGTTCTTGTGTGTTTGAGTACTGAATTGATGAGTTCAACTGGTTAGTGGAGGGTGTAACTTCAGCCAAGTTTATGGTTACTATTATGATTGTGGCCAATCAGCTCTGCGTAAAGAAAACCTGGGTTGAGTAGCCATGGACGGCAGCTCTAACACTAACCAGCTGTCTGGCAAACCCAGACCATTAGGCAGGGCTGGGTGGATGTGAAAGAGTTTGGATCCGCCTGCCATGACTACTGGAAAGAAACATGCTAATACTCATGGATTACTGAAGATGGGCTGTTCTTAGTAGTTTTCTATTGGATCGCAGACGGCTCATGTTTTGCCCCATGTTATCTACGTATATGTTTTGCAAATGATAACTGTCTTCCTCCCCTTGTGTGTGCTCTTCTAGGTCTATATAAGGAAGTGACTCTTTAGTCATCTATTCTGAGGTATTTAGGGTCATTTTTTTTATGAATAGTCATTGAGTCTGCTTCTGGGCCCCCTGGCCTCCATTAGCACAGTGCAGTTCTTTGTGACCTGTTTCTCTAGTCCTGTGTGAGATGATTGCAGAGTTCTATGGTCGTAAGAATATACAGGTGTGCATTGATTGACGTCCACCATACATTATGTGAAATAGGACGCTGTGCGTTGTTGCTGTTGTTAAGCACAGTTGAGTCGGTTCCAGCTCATGGCCACCCTGT